AGCTCTAATATCTTTCTTATAATATAAAAAATTATATAATGGCCAGTCTTCGCGAACGAAGAACCAGGGAAGGTCTTTCCACCTTCCAGCCTGCGCATTGGATTTTTTAGGTGAGACACAGTGTGCGCGGAACTGAGCCCACCCTTTAATCCTGAGGTTCATCTGCCGGGGCCAAGCGAGCTTGGACGGTGGCAGCGAGGTCCTCAGGACGTAGATGGATTGCCTTACAGGGCTAGCGAGCTCCATCTGCCCGGGGAGTGGCCCTGACCAGGAATCGAACCCGGGCCTCGGCAGTGCCCAAAGCTGCACACAATATTGCAGGTGAGGCCGCCCCAGGTCAGAGCAGAGCGGGACAATCCCCCCCCTCGACTGACTGTGGATTCTTTGCCTGATGCCTCCAGGACAGGGTTGGCCCTTCTGGCTGCCAGGGCACTGCTGGTTCATTTTTAACTTGCCCTTGACCAGGACCCCCAGGTCCCTTTCTGCAGGCTGAGGGAAACTTTGACTTCAATAAGACTTAAGCATGTGCTTAAAGATAAGAAAGTAGTCAATGACAAGAAAGTAGTCAAATTTGCATCAGGAAAGAAACAAATCTGGGTGTAGGTTTAAAATTTTTATTCCAATGGTAATCAGCTCAAGTAGCATCAAAGTCTCCTATTTAAGTCAGTACAAAATTACATACAACACCAAGTGTATATGTCAATATCTTACTAGCACCTATTGCGTAGGACAAGGGTATAACTGTGGTAGAATACTACCTTTTGCTCAGAAAACTGGCATTTGCAGTGACACATAGCAGGAATTTACTCTCACAAACTGCACATCGGCAACCTGGAAGTAAGAGTACTTGTTCATGCAGATTCTTCCCACTTACAATTGCACTGGCAGATACTGTATTTCACAACTTTAGATTTTAGAAAAAATAACTTTTTTCTCTCCAGTAAATAAGGATTAATTTTCAAAACTGCCCAAGAAGCTTTTTTAATGACTTCTAGTTACTCTCCCAAATCACTAGAGCATCTCAGAAGATTCTGTTGAGGAAATTCTCAGCTTTCCTCTTTCTTTGCTGTATTTTTCCCATCCTAAAAGTGTCCAGAAATATGCAACTGAGTTCTCATATTATCTGATTTTGGCCTGTAAAGGTGCTGAAAACAAACTCCTGGCACTCCAACAAGCACAATTTGGGAAAATTGTAGTTACCACTCCCCTTCAGTTAAGTACAGAGCTGACCTATGGAAAGGATCTTGCAGGGCTTGTTGCTTTTGCAGGGTACATGTTTTAAGTTTCCATCTTAATTTTTTCTTCTGTCAATGCACTCATTACATAAGACAAGATCTGTAACAGAAAAACAAGAGGGGAAGAGACGTTTTTGAGTTTTCCATGAGTAAAGTTACTTCGGTCACATCAGGATTTGAAAAAGAAAGATGCAGTTATGAATTGTGAAT